TATTCAAACAGCCTCCACAGTCACCAGATCGCAAACCAATACAGCACCTTTGCTTGCAAATCTGCAGCAACTGTGCGACGTCAATATGCATCAAAATCTCTGAGGAATGTTTCCAGCACCTTGTTAAATCTTTGTAATGAAAAACCAAGAAAGTTCTCAAGATAAATACGGACCCAAAACCATCCTAGTAAGGTATAAAATGATCTGGTGAATGCTTGTCTCCTTGCTTGCAAAGATATTATGTGAAGTTTACTTGTTTTCTTTCATGCTGTGAGTTGGGTGAGAAGAGATATCTACTGGAGATATGTGGTTAAAGTGAATTGTTAAATGTTTGTCATTTTTATGTTTACCATTTGTACATTGTTTTAAGGAATTCTTTCTGTCCTCCCCTTCCCAGATTCTCGAGGTTCTGGGTGGGGGGGCGGTAGTGTTTTTATCACAGGCACATCCTTGTGAAGGTCTGTTTGATGTTGGTAAACCTCCTCCCCTTTGTATGGCTTCACTTTGTTATCTAGGGTGAACCATCTAGGGTGTGGGGGAAACTACCCTCTTTATGACCTAGGATGTTGCCTCCTGCTTTTATGACCCTTTTGGTCAGTAGGAGAACACACACATACACATTCTCACATAACACACACACACACACACACACACACTTCACCGGTCAGAGGTCATACTGTTATGGATGATAGGTGTGCATTTAGCTTTTTCGGCTACTAAATCACTCTTTGAACTCCAAAACATTCTGATGTTTGCATGTTTTCTCTTCTTTAAACATATACAGGGCTTATATAAGTGTGAAAGAACTAAAGGAGGAACTACAGCTGAGCGGCACAGACACACTCAATGTCTTCTTTGCAAGCAACTCAATGCGTGAAGAGCTGGCAGGAGCTGCGACCTGGCCGTGGGCAAAGGAAGCTCTTACACACCAAGGTGAGTGGATTTATATTGAGTTTTACTAATGCGACATATTTTGTTTTTCATGCTTTCTCTGTCTGTTGTCTAGTTTCTAACTTTCTGTTTGTGCCTCTCACCCTGTCTGCTTTTCTCTTTAGCTGTAGCTTTGCCCTTTCTCTCCATGCTTTGTTTAGGGTTAGGGGTCCTTTCAAATGACATGGGAAGAGCAGCTGGAGCTGGTAGAGGTTTTCCTGACACATTACACTCCTTCTTTTTTCTTTCAAATCTTTATTCCTCTTTCCACTGGAAGGATAATCAACCCAACAACCACCAAACAAACAAATAGCAGTGTGGGCTCTGTACCATTGTTGCCAGCCATGCCTACTTAACAGCTGCTCTTTATTAATTTGTACTTCTCTTTACACAATAGTAAAT